GTGCATGCCCAAGATCCTGAGAGGAGAATGGAAGAGAAGGGATGGCAGCATGGCCATCTCCCTTGGGGGGTGATTTCTCGCTTTCTGTCTCTCTGTCTGTCTGGCGAGCGCACACGCCCTATAGCAAAATCCTCTCTAAAAAATAAATAAATAAATAAATAGAATAGGACCAGCAGGTGGTGTGATGGTTAAGACACTGAACTCTCACATGGCCAACCATGGTTCAAGTCACAGACCAGGTGGCTTGTTTTCTCATTGCCTTTCTCTCTCTCTCTCTCTTTCTGTGTCTCTGGTGAGGTCATGTGCCCTATAGTAAATTAAACAGTAATAATAATAATAATAATAAATAAAATTAAACAATTTTTAAAAATATAATAAATACAAAATAAGGTTATAAAGTCCTAGCTATATTAATTAGTGCCTTCCAAAGACTGAGGGCCTAAAGTCTCTTCTCTTACGAAGATTAGGAAGTGCCCGAGTTGTGTTAAGAACATACCAGTGTCATCTTGGGAATCTCTCCATGACATTATTTGGCTGATTGATGATTAAAAAAAGAAAGAAATTTCTGGGACCAGTAGATGGCATGGTGGTTAAGGTACTGAACTCCCACATGGCTGATTATGATTGAAGTTCCAGACCTGGTGGTTTAAAAATCATGCCAGGCAGGGACCAGCAGATAGCGTAATAGCTATGTTGCTGGACTCCCATGTAGTCGACCACGGTTTGAGTCCTGGACTTGGTGGCTTAAACTCACTTCAGGTACATGTGCGTGTGTGCCCAAGATCCCGAGAGGAGAATGGAGGAGAAGGGGTTGTGGCATGGCCATCCCCCCGGGGGGTGATTTCTCACTTTCTATCTCTCTGTCTCTCTCTGTCTGGTGACCGCATGCACCCTATAGTAAAAACCTCTCCCCCCCAAAAAAAAATCATGCCAGGCACACGTGCATGTGTGCCCTAAATCCCTATAGAATGGAAGAACAGGGATTGTAGTGTGGCCCTCCCTGATGGAATGTGATTTCTCACTTTCCCTCTCTCTGTCTCTGTCTCTCTCTGATGAGTGTACACAACCTATGGCAAAAATATTTTTAAAAAGAATGGAGGGGGAAGAAATTTCTAACTTTGTGACTTAATATTTAAAGCAAACCATAGGACATTCCTTGTTGGAAGCCACATGGCCAACTGTGGGTTTGGATCCCCAGGTACACAGGTACTCAAGACCCTGAGCTGGAGGGCTGAGGAAAAGGAATTGTGATGTGATTGCCAACGCCCCCCACCTATCTACCCATGGCATATGCATATATGCGTGTACTCTCTATCATGAATAAAATAAACTTTTTTTAATATTCTTTTTAAAATTTTTTTTAATTTATTCATTCATTTATTTTAATTTGACCAGAGTGAGACAGAGAGAGAGAGAGGGAGAGAAAGTAGGAAAGCAAGCCACCAGGTCCGGGTCTTGAACCATGGTCAGCCATGTGGGAGTGTCCAGCACCTTAACCACCACACCACCTGCTGGTCCCCTAAAATAAATAAACTTTTAAAAAATCGAGATATGTATAAAACAAGCAAAGAAAAAATGTTTAAGATGTTATATGTATTTTACGTTACATGTATTTTACCACAAAACAAAAAACAAAAATACCTGCAAAAACATAGATGAAACTGGGACCAGCAGTTGGTGTAATGGCTATGTCACTGGACTATCAAGTAGTCGCGACTGCAGTTCGAGTCTCAGACCTCATGGCTTAAACTCACCCTGGGCGCATGTGCATGCGTGCCCAAGGTCCCGAGAGGAGAATGAAGGAGAAGGGATTGTGGCGTGGCCATTCCCCCTGGGGGGTGATTTCTCGCTTTCTGTCTCTCTGTCTCTTTCTTTCTGGCAAGTGCACATGCCCTATTTCAAAAATCTCTTAAAAAATAAATAAATAAAGCATGGATGAAAGTAAAACACATTATGCTAAGTGAAAGAGGCCAGAAACAGGGCCAGCCATGTAGCCTAATGGTTAAAGGAGCTAGAATCCACACGGTCAACCTTGATTCAAATCCTAGCCCCGAAAGATTGAGAAACACACTGGCTGCCCGTGTGTGCACGCCCCAAATCCAGAGAGGACACAGAAATGGAGGAGAAAGGATTACAACATGAAGTGCTCTACTGGGGTGTGCTTTCTCTTTCTCTGGTGAGCCCATGTGCCTATTGGCAATTGAAAATGAAAGAAAAGGGAGCCAGCAAGTGGTATGGTGGTTGAGACACTGGACTTCCACATGACTGACCACGGTTTAAGTCCCAGACCTGGCAGCTTGCTTTCTCACTTTCCCTCTCTCTCATTCTCTGTCTGTCTCTTTCTGGTCAAATTAAAATAATAAAAAGGATAATAATAAATAAAATACTGTAATTCTTTAAAAAAACTGAAAGAAAAAAAAAGATGCCAGACACAAATAACTGCATGCTACGTCATTCCATTTACACACTATTCTAGATAAGTTAAAATAAAAGGGACAGGGAACCAGCAGTTAGCGTAATGGCTATGTCACTGGACTCCCACGTAGTCGACCGTGGTTCACGTCCCGGACCCGGTGGCTTAAACTCATGCCGGGCGCGTGTGCGTGCGTGCCCAAGATCCCAAGAGGAGAATGGAGGAGAAGGGATTGCGGCATGACCATCCCGCCTAGGGGGTGATTTCTCGCTTTCTGTCTCTATGTCTCTTTCTGTCTGTCTGGCAAGCGCACGCGCCCTATAGCGAAAACCTCTCCAAAAAACCTCAGTGTTAGCACCTGAGTCTGATATGAAAATAAAAGGAACAGAAAATTTATCAGTGGTTGGGCCAGCAGGTGGCATGGTGGTTAAAGGCGCTGGACTCCCACATGGCTGACCACAGTTCGAGTAACAAACCTGGTGACTTGCTGACTCACTTTCCCTCTCTCTCTCTGATCAAACTGGAACATAATAATAACAATAAATAAAGTTAGATAAAATAATTCTTTAAAAAAAAATTTATCAGTGGTTGCTAGGGACTTGAGTGGGGGGAGAGGGTGATCGCACTAGGGCACCAGGGAACTTTCAGGTTAATGGAATTGTTCTATATTTTGACTGTGGAAACAAAACACCTAAAAAAAGAGTAGATTTTACTACATGTAAATCATATCTCAAAATCTGATTTAACAGAAGAGCAGAGCATGCTGCTCACACTGAGAACATCCCATACAAAGGCACCCGTCATACCTTTCCTCGACTTTAATGGAGAGATGGTTGCACAGGCTGTGAACATACTGGGCATAGCTCTCTGCCAGGGCCATGTCGTATGCAGTCAGGTGAATGTTCAGAACCCCATATTCATAATCTGTCCCCAGATTAATGGGTCTCACCTCCACTTTTCCCCTTTTCTTCTTGGGCTGAGTAGAAAACAAAAAGAGAAAGGAAATTGAATCAAAGCATTTTACAAGAAATTAATTTTTAAAATTTAATTCAATTTAATTAAAATTTCCATTTATTGTTATTGTTTTTTAACTTGACCAGACAGAAAGAAAGAAAGGGAAAGCAAGAAATCAAGCTGCCAGGCCAAGGACTTGAACCATGATTAGCCATGCAGGAATCCAGTGTCTTTATCCGCCATGCCACAAGAAAGTCTAATCATAGCATCTTGTTTTTTTTTATAGACTTACTTAATTTATTATTATGGTTATTTTTAAAATTTGATCAGAGAGAGATAGGGAAAGTGAGAAAGCAAGTCACCAGGTCCAAGACTTGAACTGTCGCTGGCATGTGGGAACCCAGCGCCGTAATCACCATGCCACCTGCCAGCCCCACTATGTTGATACTTTCAAAAAATAATCTTTCTAATAAATGTGTTCACAATTTCCTCTCAGGGTACCTTTCCTATAAAATGAAGTTCTCCTGGAAAGAAAAGGGCAGCTCCTTGCCAGTCTGTGCTGTGAAGCTGGCCAGTGCAAGGTGAGAGAATATTGTCGGCACTGCTTTACTGTGAATGCTTCCTCAGTGACTCTTCCGCCCTTACCTTGTTTTGAGATTCACTTCCTATGCCTGGCCTCTGTTTCTCAATTTGAAATTTGAAGGGGTTGGGATCAGTAGATGGCATAATGGTTACAACACTGGACTCTCATGTAGTCGACGGCAGTTCAAACCCCGGACCCGGTGGCTTAAACTTACGCCAGGTGCATGTGCATGCATGCCCAGGATCTCAAGAAGAGAATGGATTGAGACAGAAAAAAAAAAAAAAAGAAAAGAAGAGAATGGAGGAGGTAAGAGATCTCTTCTAGGGGGTGATTTCTCACTTTCTGTCTCTCTCTTTCTAGCGAGTGCATGTGCCCTATAGCAAAAGCCTCTCAAAAAAAAAAAAAAAAAAAAAGAAAGAAAAAGAAATTTGACAGGGTTATGCTAGATTAAAGATTCTTAATCCAGAACCCATAAATGAATGCCAAGGGGTCTATACGCCCCAAAACAAATACACAAAATTTTACGTATATATTTTTTCTGAGGGAAGGTCCTTAGCTTTCATTAGAATCTTAAATCAATAGTGAGGAAACTCAGCATTACTTCTCTTCCAGCCCTCTTAGTTCTAAAATTCTGCCACTCTCTATAAACCCCTCCTTTTGAGAACTGAGAGGTAGAACAATTATTTCATTTCCACCTTGCCCTTTCCTATAAAGTATTGCTTCACTATGTATCAACCTGTGCAGGCTACTGTAAAAGGTTAAGACAAGGCCTGGGAAAAGATACTTACCAGAATACAAGCAGGGTGAAGAAAGCCTCTCAACTGGAAATAATCTAACCTAAATGCCCATTGAGAGGGGGACTTGTAAAATAAATTATGCAGTGTAAGAAGACATATGAATGTACTGGCCAGTCTCCGTGGCACAGTTAGTTACCTACTGGACTACAGTGCTAGCAGCCACATGGTACCTCGGACTGAATTCCCAGCCCAGTCAGCCTGAAAACATGCTGGACACGTATGCATGTGCCCAAGATCCTGACAAGCCGAAAGACTGGAAGAGACTGCAGCGTAACCAGGCCCTGTGGAGGGTGCTGCTTAATTCTTTAAAATAATTCTTTAAAAAACTCTCTCTCTCGGGAACCAGCAGTTAGCGTAATGGCTTATGTCGCTGGACTCCCACGTAGTAGACTGCAGTTCACGTCCCTGACCTGGTGGCTTAAAATTCACGCCGGGAGCGTGTGCATGCGTGCCCAAGATCCCGAGAGGAGAATGGAGGAGAAGGGATGGTGGCGTGACCATCCCCTCTGGGGGTGATTTCTTGCTTTCTGTCTCTATGTCTCTCTCTGGGCCCCCCCCCCCTATAGCAAAAATCCCTCCAAAAAAAAAAAAAAAAAAACTCCCTCTCTCTGGCATGCACACATACACTAAATCAAGAATAAAGAAAAAAATCTTAAAAAAGAAACTATGTACTAATCTGGTAGGTGTTTTAGAAAAAATAAAAATAAAAAGAGCAAACTATGGAATATGTTCAAAAGATTGCCATACTTATAAAAAGAGTGGGCAAGATGGGGCCAGCAAGTGGCGTAGTGGTTAAGGTGCTGGATTCCCACATGGCTCCCCAGTTTGATTCCCAGACCAGGTGGCTTGAAAATCATATTGGGTGCATGTGCATGCATGCCCAAAGTCCTGCAAGGAGAATAGAGGAGAAGGTACTATGGCATGGGCATCCACCCTGGGGAGTGATTTCTCACTTTCCCTCTATTTCTCTCAAGCAAATACACATGCCCTATGGCAAAAGTCCTTAAAAAGTTTACAAAGTTTATTATGTATTGTGGAAAAACTATGTGTGGATTTGAAAATATCTTTGCACCAAAATTAATCTGTACTTAATCCCATTTATCATAAACTTTTGGAGTTCCCTTATAAGTACTTATTTGCTTACATATCCAAAAAACAGCACTGGACAGGGACCAGCAGTTAGAGTAATGGCTATGTCGCCGGACTCCCATGTAGTCAACCGCGGTTCGCGTTCCAGATCATGTGGCTTAAAACTCACGCCGGGCACGTGTGCATGCATGCCCAAGATCCTGAGAGGAGAATGGGGGAGAAGGGATTGCGGCATGGCCATTCCCCCAAGGGGTGATTTCTCGCTTTCTGTCTCTCTGTCTCTCTGGCAAACTCACGTGCCCTACAGCAAAAACCTCTCAAAAAAGAAAAATAGCTACAATCTCAAATAATAATAATAATGATAATAATGTGAATCTTTTTTTTTTTTAAGTTTCTTTCTGGTTTTTGAAGACTTTAGGTCAAGACCAAAATCACTCAGTTAGCTATGTGGAATCCACCCACCTTATCCAGTAGAAGCTGTTTTGGTTTTGTTTTGTTTTTAAATCTGTCTTTGCTTACTGGTTACCCCTATCTAACAGCCAACAGTCTAGTGGCTGGC